ACTGTAGCAGGCAGAGCTGGAGACTCGGGGACTTGGCAGCTACTCTCTCTGCCTTTGTGGGTCTCACCCACTGTGTTATAGAAGGGCCTCTCTGGATTGATGGGAGCGATGTCAGAAATGTCTCAGATCCCAGGCCACTACCAAAGTGGGCCAAAAGAGGCCTTCCTCAATGTCCTGCCATTCCAATCCGCTGATGCAAAGACCTGGTCCCCAGGGAAGAGACCACAGGAACATATGCTGGCCTAATTCCTTTATTCTCAAAGGAAAAAGGTCAGGGGGACCCAGCTGGGGGCAAGACTGTCAGCTCTTTGACCAGTGGGGAGGCAGGCAGAAGCTAGGAGCCTGGCCCCACACCCGCCATGCCCTTTTGTAGGTAGGTAAACCCAGTAGCTGCCCCATCAGCAGGCCTGGGGCCCAAGGACACACACCTGCAGGTAATTAGTCCCAATCAGGACCAGCCTAACCTGCTGACAGAGCAGGAATGGGCTGGTCATGTCACCAAATTTGCAGATGGTGAGCGGTTTCTGAAGCGTGACCCTGGCTGGCAGAGCAGGGTTTAGCTTAATATTTAATGCGGCATATAAACGGTGCAGAGAGACTGACTCGGGCTCTAATGAGACCTTCCTTGGGCTGCCTGGTATATGGAAGCAGGGATGGGGTAACTCGGGGACTCCCATCCCCCATTCTCATTGTGGCCAGGAAAGATGGACAGAGGTAGACAGGCAGATCAACTGCCACCAACACAGCCACTAACACAGGCTGAAGAAAATGAAAAGATCCAGGGCCCAGCGGCTCTGAGGCCTTTCTTTCAAGGTCTGGAATGTTTATGGGGTTTATTTTCTATGATGAGGGGCATTGTTGGCCGACAGACAAACAGACCATGTTTCTCTTTTTCCTTCACTATGGCCTCGTCCCACCAAACATTCAAGTAGGTGAAAACCTGTTCACAGTAGTTTGAATTGGGAACTGCACGTCATTTCCATGTAAGTGTGAACCTGCCATCTCCACAGTCTTCACAGACCTCATACTTCCCTAGGACCCCAGCTGGTGTGTCTCACTTGGAGCTGTGCCAGAAGTTCCTCAACCTGCTGGTAAACCATAATGCCAGGATGAGCCTGTATAAGTCCCCCACCTATACCCCTTCGTGTGTGTGTTCTGTGCACAGGAAAGTCCTGGGTCACCTCATTATGTCCACAGTACAGGTGTTCAGGATATGTCTCTAGCGGACACACATCACTTGGCTCCTCCAGTGCTTCATAGTCCAGGCACTGTTCTGATTTTATTTACAAGTAGATCTGAAACAGGTGTGTAGACCTGGCTGACCTCAAACTCACAGAGATCTGCCTGCCTCTGCCTCCCAAGTGCTGGGATTAAAGGCGTGCGCCACCACTGCCCGCCTTATTTGTTTTTAAAAGCCCTTTTAACAGAGGCTAGAGAGATGGCTCCACAGCTAAGGGAACTGTTACTCTTAGAGGACCCAGATTTGGTTCTTAGAGCCCATACCAGGTTGCTCACAATAACCAGTCACTTCAGTTCCCACAGCCCTGGTGCCCTCTTCTGGCCTATTTGGGCATGTGCACATATATGGTGCACATACAGATAAGCAGGCACACACACACACACATATATGTAAATAGTGCTTAGCAATATTTTTTGTGTACACAAAGTTCTTTACATATTAAACAAACTAACTTTTATCATCTGTATTACATTCCCTACCATAGTTTTTATTTTTGTCTTTGGATGTTTTTACACACAAAACGCTTTTAACATTTTTCAATTATTTGCATTTGAAAGGTTTTTAAAGGCCTTTTCTACACTAAGATTATAATTTTCCCTAAGATTTTTTTGTTCTAGTTTATTATGACTTTTTTTAAAAGGTTTGACTAACTGGAATTTGTTATAAATAATACATAAATATACATGTTTAGGGGTACACTGTGATGTTTTGATATACAGCACAATTTGTCATGACTAAATTTGGCTAGTTAGCATACTGTTAACTCAAACCATTTGTTCCCACGGAGACAGTGAAATGGGGATCTGGCCACATGTATTTGGACCTGTTTCTGCGCTGTCCATCCCAGCCCATATGTTTGAAACCTCAACTTCTACAATAGGTTTAGTTATTATAGAATTATCACATGTTTTTGTTCTTATTTAAAATTTTATTACATTTATTATTTTTGTTTGTTTGGGTGTGTGTGTGTTGGGCAGCAAGCACTTTACCCACTGACTGATCTTGCTGGCCCCTTGTCACCTTGTCATACGTCTGGAATGTTCTAGAACATATACTTATTTCTTTATTTCAGAACATTTCCAGCTATCCTGCAGTGTTTATTTTGACAATTTTTCTTGAAGTCTATTGTGCTTTCCTTGGGGTTACTTTACTGTAAGAGGTGCCTTTCTGACAGTCAGTCTAGGGAGAAGCATCTCTCCATTGTTCTGTTCTGTCACTGTGGCTCTAAAGCTAAATTTATTCTCTGGGATTGTATATATTGTTGTTGAAGATTTGTTCTTCTATTATGCTAAATATTACTTCTTTATAAGGAAGCTAATGATTATGTTGATAATCGGAATATGCCTTCCATTTTGTATGTCTGCTTTTGTGTTTTGAAATTAGGTCTTACAATGCAGCCCAGGCAGGCCTCCAATTCCTGATCCTCCAGCTCAGCCTCCTGAGTGCTGGATATCACAGGTGTACCCTCCCATGCCCTGCTCTAGAAGGTCCCTGACATTTCAAAACTAAGCATAGCCCTAATTTTGGTCAGGGATGTTTATACTTCTTTTCTGTGCTATAATGTGACTTTAAAAATGAAGAAATTCAAATAAACACAAACTAATGTCTGGTCCAGGGCTCTGAAAACCAATCCATGTCCATGTATCTTACTCCTGACCCTCCTGCAGCCTTCTGCAGGTCTGGGAGCCCCTGTAGCACGCTGCAGGTCTAGGAGCCCCTGTAGCACGCTGCAGGTCTAGGAGCCCCTGTAGCACGCTGCAGGTCTAGGAGCCCCTGTAGCACGCTGCAGGTCTAGGAGCCCCTGTAGCACGCTGTAGGTCTGGGAGCCCCTGTAGCATGCTGCTGGCCTTTTCAACTGCAACTCTGCAGATCCAAGTATAATACACACGCCTTTCTATGCATGGTTTCTAACGTGACTATGGTGGCCTTTGGCTGGGAGCCATGGAGGCCTGTTTGAGGAGCTGCTACCACTGAACCCCAACCTGCCATGGTCCAAGGGACTACAGCCCAATGGGGCCAGCTCTTCTAATATTTTGAGAAATCAGAAGGCTTGGTTTTGTTTTTTTTTTTAAAGTCTTGGCTCAAATTTTCTGAAATCCCCATGAGGCCCAATTAGATTTATCTGAAGGCCAGATTAGCCTTAGCTAGCAAGCATGCATCTCGTTCCCACAGACAAGAATCTTAGCCTCAGTGTTCACTGGACTATTAGCTGCCTAAATAAGCATGTGCCCAAACCCACGTCCTAAGTCCTGCCCCAAACGTTTCCTCTGCAGTGAAACGTTTCCTAGGGTGGCTGTGACTCGGTTTCTTACTCCATACAGTGGGCACATCTCAGCTTGGCTTCTCCCTTGTGTAACGGTAATATTGTCATGGAGGTCCCTAGTGAACTCCGGCAGGGGTCCTCGGGAAACATCTCACCGCCTGGAGCTCCCTGGCTGGCGTCCCTTCTGTTCACCTCCCCCCTGAAGCTCAGCTGGCTTCGGGCTGCTCCCCAGCTTAGCTAAACCGAGTACCAAGTCACTCTTGCTCTGCCCAGCACTCCTGTCATACCTGACCTGCACACAGGGCTCGGCTGTTTTTACCCTGAGCCCCAGGGCTGACTTGGCTGTTAGGTCTCAGCGACAGGCCTCTTTTCTTGTCACTAAGGGACCCTTGGGCCTTAGAACTTGCCTCGTTCATCTTTCTGCTTCAAATACATGAGAATTTCTTGGTTCTGTTACTACTTTCAGGTTATGACTATCAGCCAATGGGGACATCCTGCCATCTCTGGTTGGATCCCAAGTTACAGCCTAAGTATAGCCCGCCAGCCCCTACTATCTGCGTTTCATATTCTGGAGACCCTCTGCTTCCTGCCTCGCAGAGCTGGCTGTAGTGACCATTCCAGGGCTCCACAGTGCTGGGCTGGAGAAGGGAATCCCCCACAACAGCGAGTCCTACACTGACCAGCATGAGAGGGCTCCGGGGAGTCACAGCAGACACACTTGTTGGCTGATTACTTTGTGCTAGGCAAGAGTCCACGCGCCTCGTGCGTGGGGACCTGGTCATCCTCACAAGAGTCCCGTACTGCAGCCATTGTCACTGTCCCCAGCATACAGATCAGGAGACCACAGCTGGAATACTGGTACAGCTCACCCAAGATAGTTGGCACACAGCAGACTGGAGCCCTGCACTGGGGCCAGAACTCGGGCCCCGCACATGCTGGGCAGAACCCTGGCTGAGCGGCACCACCAGCCTGAGGACCCTACTCTTAATTTTCACTCTGATGGTGATAATGGAGGCTGCCAGAAAAGCCAGCTGCTTGGCTCGGACCCAGCCCCTCCTAGCCCTTCTGTGTGCAGCCTCAGACGGGAAATCTGAAGCACCAGTGGTGACTCACAGAGTCCCTCATCTCCTGGAAGCTGATGCCAACCACAGAATGTCCTGGCTCGCCAAAGGAAGAAATCCCAGACCTCTGAGTGCCTGGTGCCAACACAGGGCCCCTCTGAACGCAAGCCCTGCCTCTCTTGGCACTCATTTTCCTCTAGTTTTGCGAAACAGTGCGCAGTCATGTCGCGTTTCAGCCACAACCTGTGTCCTGTGTTTCCCAGCAGTCTGCCACCTGACCCGAGCTGGGACCTTCTAACCCCATTAAAGTAGAGCCCAGTCATATCCAAAAGCACAAAGAACAACTTCCAACCTCTCTCTCTCTCTCTCTCTCTCTCTCTCTCTCTCTCTCTCCTTCCCTCCCCCCCCCCCCAAATTCCCATCCAGCTATGCTCACCTGTAACAATGGGATAGGACTGCGGGCCTGGCACGCTGCTTCCGATGTCAGCAGGGGTGGGGCTTGTCAAGTTAGCTTTCATGTCGTCCAGGCCTCCAGCCAGCGAGGCCATGGCTGAATACTCTGTGGTCTGAAAGAGGAAGCAGACATCTCAGCATGTAGCCTAGAGGCACCCTGATCAGATGCAAGGCCATGATCTGTCCACAGAGGTTCTGGGAAACCCAGGCGGAAAGGGCAGACGCAGCTCAACGGAGCAGCACATGTCTCCAGAACGGACCACTGTTCCCAGGTGAAAAGATGGGGAGGAGTTCACACAGCATCGCGAGAAGTCCTATCTAACCGACAGATTTCCCGGCTCAGCCCCAGAGGCCAGGGAGGGCGTCAGAGCAAGCAAGGCAGAAATAAGAGTCTACTTGCCAAGGACAGGGGCAGCCTGGTTTCTGGTTTGGGGGCTCTCAGACAACAGGGTGGGACCCCAGAAACAAGTGTTAAGAAGGAGTTTGAGGAATCACCCAATCCAGACCCATTTCACAGATGGACAAACTAGACTCCAAGAGAAAGAGGGCTGAGTCCTCAGAAGATCAGAGAGACTCCCGATCCAGGGGCTAGCTGATGAGAAGTTCCCAGCCCTAATTCAGCCCATAGAGCCAGCGAGTCGCAGTTTGACGAGTGACTTTTGGATTCTGGAAGTCTATGAACACTTGTGTGCTATAAACATTCCAGGCACAGATGTCAGATTTATCAAACCCACGACAACCAGGTGTGCTGGGCAGAGAGTCGTGTCCATTTCTTTAAGTCACTCATGAAATCTAAGCCTGTGATGAGCCATCTCCTTGACATTGAAGCCATTGCAGAATGGCTTCCAGGGAAGGCAGAAAAAATACCATCCTGGACCTTCCCACTCAAGGAAGGACGACACTATAACCATAAATGACATGTCTTCGCGCCCTTCCAAATCCCACTACAAACATTGAAGGACAAAGATTTCGGTTGTGTGTCCCAAGTTTTGGCCGGGGGCTTCTCTTGGCCTGGCCTTGCTAACTAACAGCGGTCACATCCTGTCTGTTCAAGATGACATACTTGGCAGGCGGGGACAGTAGTAGGTGGGTGAGGAGGCTGAGAGCCTGAGACTCGGAGTTCCTTGTGTACTTGGGATAATGATGGTTGCTATTCCTGTGGCACCACTTGCCAGGGCCAGCCGGTGGAGCGGGACACACGTCCCCTGAGGAATGGTCCCCAGAAGAAGACCTTCCAGAGGAGGAGGAGGCACTGAGGTGGGACGGGAAGATGGCGAAGACCCGCTCCTGTCTTCACTGTGACAGGTCACTATGTATGAACATCCCCGTGCCCCTCCCCAAGGCCTCATTCTCCATCCCATGAGGCCATGTTTGTGCCTGGGGAGTTTGGGCAGGACCTGAAGCTGGCCCGATCAGGTGTCTTTGCCTTTTGCATTTAGGTCTCTAATCCACCTGGGATTGATTTTTGTGTCTGGTATAAAGATCTAATCTCTCCCTTCTCCCCATTTCTGAATGGATAACCAGTTGCCCATTGCTGGTTATTAAAGAGTCCATTTCTTACTGCTGATTTGTACATCTCCTTACCTATATATCAAGGTTCCGTATGTGCACAGATGGCTTCCAGCCTGGTCTATTTATCTCTCCCGGTGCCAATAACACACCATGTTAATTACTGCAGATTTCTAGTGGTCCCTGGTGCAGGTAGACCCGGGCCCTAGCCTGGCTTCTCTATGGAGTAGCCGGGCCTGCTATGGGCCTAGGGATTCTTTGCTACAGTTTTTTGAATCAGCCTCTTCTGGAAGATGATTGACCAACCCCGGGGGCTCTCCCAACTGTCCTCAATGGGACACACCTCGGGACCCCAGCACCTGCAGTCCCTCTCAGCTCCACTGCAGCCCCAGCTTCCAGAGAACACTGTGTCAGGGACTTCGCCTGTGCTTTCCATCTCAAGCCAAGCTCTGCCCATGAAGGGGGCTGTGTTATTCCACTTCTCAATGTAAAAGCTTGAGACGTCGATTCTAGAAGAAACATGATGAACTTAAAGCCAACCAGCACCTCGGCCCCAGGATTCAAACATGGGTCCCTCTCACTCCAGCATCTTGACAGTACCCTAATGGGGTTCTCTAACTGTGAGACCCAACCTGTAACAGTGATGAAATCAAACAGTTGGTGCCAACTACTTAAAGTTGAGTTTCTTTGTTTTGTTTTCTTTTAGCTCGTTCTTGTTGCTATTTTGGGGTTGTTTTGAGGCAGAGTTTCATGTAGCCTAGGCTAGCCTAAACTTACTACATAGCTCAAAATGACCTTGAACTTCTGATCCTCCTACATTCAGCTCCCCAGGGCCAGGATAGCTAGCATGGATCACAACACTCAATTTCCTGTTGTGCTGGGGATTGAACTTAGAGCTTCATGCATGCCAGGCAGGTGCTCTATCGGCTGAGCTATATCCCCAGCTCACTGGTAGTGGAATTAGAAGGCATAGAACAGAGACCAAGGCTTTCACACCTAGAAAAATTAAGCCCTATTTTCTAAATCGTGGTTCACATATGAGTAGGTAGAGAGGAAAATCCGTTTCCTGCTGCGAATTAGAAACAGCAGCATTTGAAGAGCATTTCTGCATTCCATGCAGCAGGGAGCTGTTGGGGAAAGGTCGCAGTCCAGATTCCCTCCCTGTAGGATGGAACTGCGGCTCATGCCCTAGAAAGCTTCTGAGATAAAAGCTCCCCAGAGGCAGCTACCTCCTGCAGTGCACTGCCATGCCTCTAGGGGGCGTCTCTTTTGAGGTGGTACCTTCTAGAGCTCCTGGATGCCTGGACAAGGGTTCTAGTTCCTCTTTCTGTGTCTCCCTGGATGCCTGAGCACAGTGAGTGTATGTTTGCCTCACCCGTGCTAGGCCCTGTTGCATGCATGCGGGTGCGTGAGACAGAAGAGACCCTCCCACAAGCTCCCGGAGAAAGATGCAGAGCCCCAGAAAGCCCATCCAAGATAGAGGAAAGCACCCGGCTGTTCATTCTCGTCGGGTGGGGTGTGGTCAGGAAAGGTTTCTGGGGGTGGGCTGAGCGAGCTCTGTCCCTTGAGTTGGAACAACTGAGCAGAGCTGAGAGGCGAAGGGAAGGAGGGGGCCAGACGGGAATGGGGCACTGGCTGAGGGAGCGGACACAAAGGTAGGCCGGCTGGAACTGGACTACCATGGATCTCTTCCGTGGAAAGAAAGCTAAATAACAAGCAGCTCCTCCAGGCCCTCAGCATCCAGTCAAGTGTCAGCACAGCCCCCACACCTTCCCTGGCCACAGTCTCCAGGACTCTATCTGCAGACATGGCTGGCATCTGAGGCTATGCGGGAGAGCGTAGGTTTCCCCCAAGGAGACAGAGTCATTTGCAAAAGTGTGGCTGATGGGGATTTCCTGTCTCTTCATGTATTTAAATTTCCAGGTGGAAACCAATAATTGATTTTTCCGTGTCAGACAGCGTGAGTGCATGGAGTCGCTCCCAACTGTTGGGTTCGCGAGACTAGGTACTTTTGGCGTGCGGCAAAGGCTCACTATGCCGATCACTAAAGCATTTCAGGAGGCAAAGAGAAAGAACCTCACTGAAGAGTTCAGGCTTGTGCGCGGTGGTTCTCACAAAGGAGGCTTTAGCAGCTCTGTCTCCACCCAGCAGGGGCCCAGTGTTGTTGCTGGGATTTGACAATTCTTCCTCTGCTCCTCTGGGAGCAGGCTACTATCTTTTATGGGGGTGCTCAGTTGTTCCTCCAGTCTATCCTCGGAACTGCCTGTGGTGTTCTCTCTCATCTCTAGGGCTTTCACAGGCTGGGCTTCCAACATTCCAGGCTCCTATCTGTCTCTGTCTGGAGGGGCCATCTCCGTATGAAAAGAGCTCCTACACTGTCCATAGACCCAGCTCAAATCTGACCTCCTTGGTGAAGCCATCCCTGGTTCTATGAAATCATCACTCCTCTGCTTCTTGCATGACTCTGTCATTACGCCTCCATATATAACAGCTATTTGTCTCTCTCCTTTCAGAACACAGAGCCTCCCTACAGCCTCCCCACAAGTGTGCACTGAATGAATGAATAAATTAATGAATGAATAAATTGTCCATCCACATGACATAAACTACAGATCTCAAGAATTTACTGGAGGCCAGGAATGCCAGTCCATGTTAATAATCTTAGCACCCATGAGGCAGGGGGATCCAGAGTTCTAGGCTAGCTTGGGCTATACAGTGAGATCCTGTCTCAAAAAAGCAGAAAAACAAAAGAATTAACTAGAAAGTTTTTAAACAGGAGCTCCAAGTGACAAGGTAACCCTGCCTCTCCAGCTCATATACCAGGTGACGGGAAATCTGGGTCCCTGTCCAGTGTTGGCCAAAGTCCATTGGAGAAGCACATTTATTAAAGACAATAAAAGAAATGGGTCATGCAAAGGTATTTTTTTAACCTCTGGAGACACTGCCCATTAGAATATTCAAATTCCTTGCCCTTCCCTCTCTTTTCTCCCTGGGGAAAAGGTTATTTCCCATGCTGAGTTGTTCATTTGCCTCCGACTAAACAACCAGCACATTAGAAACCCACTGTGTGTCCCCTTTAGCTTTGGCAGCTGGAAGCTCAGTCAAACTCGGGGTTCAGCCAGCAGACCCACACCACTGCTGGGCCCTGGAACAACAGCCTCCCCTTTTCGCTATAGTACATTTGGACTCCCTCAGATGGACTTTAGACATGTGTAATCACTCCTCAGATCACCTCAGACAAGTCCTCTGTGGAAAATGGGGCCTAGGAGAGAGAGACTCTTGTAAAAAAAGAAGACGAGAGAGACGTAAAGATGAGAGATGAGCCAGAGATGAAAGAGGGCTCCTGGTGCCCCGTTCCTGGTAGCAATGTCTGTCCTCTTCCACTTCTCTGTTACTTGGGAAGCCGGGGCAAGCCAACGGGACGTGAATGTGGAGGGCGCAAACACACACACACACACTCTGGGCTCCCCCATCCCAGGCACCCCAGTCACAGAGCCCAGCTGTGTTCCCACCCTCCCCTTCTCTGAGCCCTGCAAAGTCTGTCTGAAGCTGTCATGTCAGGTTCCTGCTCCCTCTCCTGGGAGCCCCTGCTGCCGTCCTCCTC